TATCTGTTGTTCTATTTTTTTTTTAATATTTTAATTGTATTTTGTAATTTATGCAACGTTCATAGTTATTATGTTATTATGTCTATTTGCTCTTTATCCTAATTGTATTTGTATTCTTGTAATTTATGTAAATTTCCTATTTTATGTTATGTATTTTTGATTCTTGTAATTGGGCACGTCCCGTATTTCAATTAATAAATAAATAAATAAATAAATAATTTAGAAACTCCAATATTACCAATACAAGGTACTACTTCAGTGGTGAATTGGGCCAAACAATTTGTGATGTAATTAATTAATGTATTTAATGCATTAATTTTATTTTATGTATCTTTTTTGGCCAATAAATATTTATTTATTTCTCTCTCTCTCTTTACGAAATAATTACGATAATAACTATGGATTTGTTGGCCCCTATAAAATGCATCGTTGACAGTCGACGGATGACGGTTAGCATAGATATTGTTGGAAAAACATTTTCAGCTAAAAATAGTTTTCACGTAACGTCAATGGCCTGCCCATCAAGTGTTTATATTGATAATACGTTTTATGTATAAACGTATACACAATAACGGATTAAATTGAACCAACTGTTTCTATTTGTTAAAAATTAAAATACGCATACTGATTGCTGAGGATCATAGACATATTAATAAATGGACTGCGCTTAGAGAGAGAAATCATGAAACCGACATTGATGAGAGATATAGAAACTGTTGGGGGCAACCATGGAGGAAATAATTTAATACTCAAATTATTCCATGATATTATCAACTATTACCGCCATAGACATTTAAATAAATATTAATATGTCTATGATTACCGCGATCAAAAATAGTACTATGTATATTGTATACTATATTATATAGGTTGTTGTAATCTGTGATCACTGCAAACGATTGCACCTACCACCTGCATCAAACACCACCAATTGGCACTTTGGGCTTCGACTATAGTTATTAATACGTTTTTCATTTATTAGGTACATTTATTGTATATAACAATAATACCTTAAGGCTAAAAATGAAAACTTGTACTATTAAATGTTGTAAAACAAACATTAAAGAACAAGGTATTAAAATGTATGGGTGAGTAGATATCAGATATTATTGACAGTTAAATAATTCATGATTTATGTAATTATATGTGCTCATATTATATAATATTACTCAACTGTGATATTAATTAAGTATACCCAAAGGGAATATTGGTGATCAATGGGTCCACTGAATTAAACAATTTCAGCCAGATTTTTACCAACAAAATACACTGTAATTTGTAATAAACATTTTGTTGAATCAGCTTATTTTGAAGGTGGAATATATGGTAAAAATGTTTTGGATAAATCTGCACTACCTAGTTTGTTTAAAAAACATTAGTACCTACCATTAGGTATATTACATATAGATGTATCACAATATCTATTTCCTTTACTGTTTTTTAATCAATAAAAATCTTTTTCCGAGTGAAAATATTGATGTCGTTGAGGTATTTCCTGAAAATTTGAGCGGAACATGCCTCAGTGATAGTGAGTGTCAGTTGGATAAACGGTGTCATGGTGATATTGATACTCAATGTATGTATTCTAATTAATTATTTATGTTTTTATATCGTTGCATAACTAACGACCGTCTCGCCAGCACCACCCATTCAAAAATTTGAAATTTTTTTTCACGGAAAATTAGCATGCAATTAGCATGAATTTGCACGACTACTCTCAAAATTTGCATGACTAAATTTTCACCCGCATGACAAAAAATGTCGAGCGGTGCTGGAGAGACGTCTCACCAGCACCGCCCATCGTGAAAAATTAATAACAATCAACAATTTTTACATACCAACATTTAGCACGCGATTAGCATGAATTTGCACGACAGACTCCGAAATTCGCACGTGTCTGGTTCGCGAGTAAAACCGGTTCAACGTTATCACGCGTCTCGCCAGCACCACGTAAAGGTAGGTTTACACGAGACGTGAGCCACGAGCGTAATTCACGATCGCGTAGTTGTGACTCACGAGCGTGGTTTCAAAAAGCGTCCCACGAATCGTGAAGGTGTTTACACGTTAACATTATTTTAGTTCAGTAAGATGGAGTCGTTAGTGGCGGAAGCATGTTCTATTTTGTCTGGTGAATTGGCTCAACAATTGAAACAACGATTAACAGAAAGTGATAGATCTAAGTTAAAAAGTAGAAAGAAAAGGAGATGGTGGGTAAGGCAATGGATTCAAAAGCGTAAAAGTAATGGTGGTTCTATGTTTATTTCACGCGAGTTACGAAATGAAAATCCGGAAGATTTTAAAAACATTTTAAGAATGTCAGACACACACTTTGAATATTTGTTGAATAAAATAAAATCCAAGATTCAAAAAATGGACACAACAATGAGGGAAGCTATTCCAGCAGATACAAAACTCAAATTAACACTTCGCTACTTAGCAACGGGTGATTCATTTAAAAGCCTGGAATATTTTTTTAGAGTTCCTAAATGTACCATCAGTTTATTTCTACCTGAAGTTTGTTATGAAATATACACAGCTCTTGCAGAATTTATTGAAGTAAGTCAAAACAATTTAAAATAGACATTTATATTTTTAGATTTAGTATATTAAACTTTTAACATAAATAGGTACTTAGATTGACAAATTAAAAAATTAACAAAAATAAAAATAAATTTTAACTCTTATTAACAAAAATAAAAATAAATTTTAACTCATATTAAAAAAAATAAAATAAAGAAACCTTTCTTTTAGTTACTAATTAATATAATTAGGAATATTTAAAACAATTTATAATTGTGCATTTGATAAGTCTGTAAGCATATAATCTTCGGTTTCTGATAACAGTTCATCAAACATAGCTGGAGATCCGAAATCACTTGTATCTGTACTAGTTTGAAGGCTAGATGATCATTGTAGTTCATGCATTGCATTTTGGTTATCATTTTCTATGATTTCATTCATAATCATGTTGGTCATCTTTTGTTGTAACAAGCATGATTTTTTAAGTGGTAGCTGGTCACTTAATACTAATGCAATGTATTTTCCGAACTGATCAAAACTGTCTTCTCTTTTACTATTTTGAGCCAACTTTTGAGCTCTTTCAGCTATACCATCTAATTGTTTAACTGCAGCTAACACTGTGTCAGTCTCACTAGAACTCGACTTAACAGTCTCAATTTTTCTTTTTTTCAAATTCCAATCTCTTTTTTGTTTATGTGGACTTTTAAAAAGTTTTGTTTTAATAGTTGTATTATTAGTATTATTTGCATAAGTACTTATATTAGGTTCTGTTAAATTTGATTCTACTGATTCTAGTTCATTGATACTGGCTTCTACTTGAGAACTATCATTTAAGTCATACATAGCTTGATTTTCTTGGTCAGTTTTTTCCATATCATTACTTTTGTTTTCATTTGATATCACCTGAAAATTGAATATTTTACAATTTTAATTTTTTAGGTGCCAAAAACAAAAAATGAATGGGATGAAATAGAAAAAGGTTTTCAAAAGAGATGGAATTTTCCGAGATGCATCGGAGCAATGGACGGGAAACACATCCTCATTAAAGCACCACCTAAAAGTGGATCAGAGTTTTACAACTATAAACACCAGTACAGTATTATATTATTAGCATTAATTGACCACAATTACTGTTTCACGTACATTGACGTTGGTGCAAATGGGAAGGCATCAGATGGTGGTGTATTTCAAGAAAGCTCTTTTTTTGAAGCATTGGAAAACAATACTCTAAATACCCCAGACGATGTTGTTTTTGTAGCTGATGATGCTTTTCCGCTCAAGACGTATTTGATGAAGCCGTAAAACAGAAGAAATTTAACAAGAGAACAAGCAATTTTCAACTATAGATTATCCAGGGCTAGACGAATATCAGAAAATGCTTTTGGCATACTTGTTAGCAAATTTAGAATTTTTGAAAGACCAATCCCATTGATACCTCATAAAGTCGATAAAATTGTTCTCGCTTGTTGTGCAATACATAATTGGTTACGAAAAACAAGTCAAGCCTATTTACCACCAGGTCTTATTGATCACGAAGATTATAACTATGAAATCACAAATGGATCATGGAGACAAAATCAAAGTTGCATCGTAAATTTTCAACCAACAAATCACAGAAATGCATGTATAAATGCTAAGAAAATTAGAGATGACTATTGTGCATATTTCAACGGAGAAGGAGCTGTTCATTGGCAATGGAAATTAATTAAATAAGTCAACACATTTGATTTTTGTAATTAATTATTGAAATATACATTTTATTATTATACTTACATAATTTGAGCATGTATCCCTCATAGTCACATACGGTTTTAAAAATGAGTTCATTTTGGTAAACCAAACTACATGTGGTACATAAACATCTTCTAAAGATGTTCCAGATTTTTTACTAGTAGCAATTTTTTTCAGTTCTTGGCAATATGAACTTCTTAAATTTATAAATTTACTTATTACGTGATCAGGTCCAAAACCTTAAAAATTAAATTATTATTTTCTTTAGTTGAACTAGATGTATCAAGTAAATACAGACATAATCAAATAAAAATAACAAACCTTCAATATTCATGCCTAATACTATTCTTTTCACAGCTTCGCCTCTAGCATCTCTATTTCTGTAAGATTGTAATTTAGTGTTCCATAGAACTTCTTCTTTTTCATAATAGACTATAAATTGCATTGTTTGTTCGTCATTCATTTTCATAACGTTTTTATTTACACTCATGTTGTTGATAAAATAATTAATAATAAATGTATTATAATTAAACAACTTTCAATTGAGTAAAATAATTAGTAATTATAATAATTTTAGTTATTACAAAAAGTTATTACAAGTATTTTTATTTTTTAGTCAAAAAGTTATAAAAAGATACACATAATCAGACAAACAGTACACCACAATTATTGAGCTTTCACGACTGAAATATCTAACATGGTTTGATATTGCACGAGCCAGTCGTGACAGGTTCGTGGAAGATAATACCACGATCGTGAAGTACGAATTGTCTGTTTACACAAACCGTGGCTCACGCTTCTAAAGACTACGATCGTGGCTCACGTCTCGTGTAAACCTACCTTAAGTTTAAAAATGTTGAAAGTCAGTGCACAAATAGCATGAATATGTCTGATGGATCATCTAACAAATATAAAATGTTCAACCTAATAATTAAACAGCCATGGACTTAAAAAATAATCTATTATAAAATAAAATTAAAAAATAATAAATTAATTTTAAATAATAATTGAAAAATATTATATTATATTTCATAATACAATAGGCGAGTACGCGGCTTACTATTTTTTTTTATATATTGGTATTTATGTTTTGTACTTTTAATAAATATTTTTCTTTTGAATTTGATTTTTTTACTATTAACATTTTATAAATACTTTTTTACATCATTACTAATTTTACCTATATCAAGGTGCCCAGTAATAAAATGTAATACAATTTTGAACATAAAATTTTAATGTTTATCATATCTGTAACATACATAATTAATTATGACAAAATAAATAATCATAGTATCAGTAAATCTGTTTATCTATTTCTTGCGTCTCGACAGCAAGTTGTATTAAAATTTTACAATTTATTATTATTCACGTATGTTGCACCAGCCCGGCCCATTTTGAAATATTGGGAAATGTTTGCATCAATATTTAGCATGCAACTAGCATAAATTAGCATGACTAAAATTAGAATTTGCATGATATTGGTTTAACGGTTAAATCCAAAATTTGATGAGCCGGGCTGGCGCAACGTTGAGCCAGCCCGGCCCAATAGAAAAAATATATAAATATACAAATATTTAGCACCTAAACTTTTATTTTGACACTGCCAAGTGCCAATATTTAGCACGCCATTCGCATGAATTTGCACGTCTATCACCAGAATTCGCACGTCAATTTTTTAACTCTAAAAAACTGTTTACACGTTTTTACCGTTGCGCCAGCCTGTCGCATTTCGGACATTTTTTTATTGGTCAAAAAACAGTTGTCGTTACCGTCTATTTTGCTAGCCAAACCCATAATCGAAATATTGCGTTTTTGCCGTTAGATACCTATATGCTATATGTTTAATGGTTAGGAACATATACTTATGTATTACACTTTATTTGAGTTAATTTAAAATAAATAACATGTAAATCACACTTGAGTCAATTTATTAAAAATTTTTATTTGAATAACATACTAAATGGTATAAAATAAAAATTCACATGGTACTTTTGATGTGGATTTTGTAGGAATGGGCTTTTTTCTGGAGATCATCATAAAGTTCCCAATTATTTCCTCCAGCTCTCTTTAAATAGGCTTGATAATGGCCAATCGAGTTTCGTAAGTTGCTTTTTCCTTGACGAAAACTTATCACTCCACGAAGCTCATACGTTGTACCACAGAACAAACAGAAGGGAATCTTAAGGCTCATCGAAAAACCGTCCGACATTTCTGAATTTTAAACGTGCTGCCACATACCGAGAAATTCCCTTTTTTTAAAGTTTTCTGTGGTTTGTGGCTACGCTGTTAGTCGGCAATTCCACTCATAACAACAACAACACATGTCCAACCATAGATAACATAGATTATAAATCGATTTGATTCACGATTATAGATAGTACTATCTATAATCGTGGTTTGATTATTTGAATATAATAAATATATTAAAAATTTGAACGAACAGTGTTGCACGATATAAAGAAAAAGAGGGAAATTCCCGGTACGTGGCAGCACGTTTAAAATCTAGAAATGTCGGACGTAGTTTTATCATCTCCCATAAGAGCCCATGTTAAATGAAATAAGATTCCGTTCTGTTTGTTCTGTGGTTGTACTTCCATGTATTAACACTTGAGGAATATCTGATAATGTAATTTGTGCCATCCTTGCTGCTTCAGTACTGTGTTGGCTCAATTCCAAACATTCATCTAATTTTTTTTTTGAATTAGTACTTAATGAAATAATTTGTTAAACTTTTAAGACGTTATCAAAGAAGCCCGATCGCAAGGTTTTTAATGGAAAAAATGTTTACTGGTTTACTCGGTTCCTTAGATGCAAAAATCATGACAGTAAAATCTTATATATTATCCATAAAAAATTAACAAATTAAATTTTTACCTTAGGATTAAAAAATACTAGTTTTATGGTAGTACAGCAATAATATACTTTGTTATGACCTTAATATCAAAAAAAAAAAAATATGCTTTGTGATTGGACTTAGTACTTAAAACATTCTATATCATATATATTTATATACATTATACATTTTTACTTTCCCAAAACAAAACATCAATAAACAAATGCATTTTTGACAACTGAATAGAAATTGATGATGTGCAATTACCAATACATCTTGCATTTTCCGTATTAACACGTTCGTACAGAAATGATTGTAGCTCTTTAATAATTTTGCCGTTGTTGACTTGATATGATATAAAATAAATATCACGTGTAGATTTAGATAATTTACCAGGACATTTCTTATTTGAACAGGACCTTTGCTCTATTGATGTTGGGCAGTCATTGAGCATAGTTTCTATAACATGTCCAGCTGTTGTATCACATTTTGCTATTATTACACCATATTGAAGTTCTTGTAATGTCACTTCCACACGACTAGTTATCAAATCTGCTCTTTTTGAATATGTTGAAGAGTTCCGGTCTTAACAATATTAGAAATAAAACTAAAAAAAGAGTTTCCTTCAACAAAATCAATTCTTTACTATCACAGTAAGATCCCTGAAAAGTAAATGACAAATTTATACATAAGAAGCCAGTATTATGTTATTCTAAAAAAACTGGTCAGAAATTTACAAGTTATTATTTTCTTAAAAGTATTTGCTCAAGTAGGTAAATATAAAAATTAATTTTAAAAATGTTCTGTCGATATTTTAATTGTTTTGCATTATATGATAATAACTTTATCTTCATAATTTTGGATGTATTTATGTACCTATTATATGTCAAGACTATTTATTATTATCTTTTTAATTATGAATCTATAGTTATGCTTTATATTTCGATAAACATTAATTTTATTAAACAGTAATAACACTTGTTTAATAAATACATTAATAGATTGTTATTATAATAGATTTACTTCAATATTAAATATCTTACACATATTATATCAACAAGTACTTATATGTGCAATTTTTGAAGTAATTGATATTTATAACATACAAAATAAGATTTTCAAACAATATATTATAGTACTGATTTATCATCAAAAGAAGGAAACAAAATAGTAAGCTAATCGTTAAGTTATTTTATAACTGAAATTAGCGTGATACATTAAATATACCTCGATAATAATTAAAAATAGGTAGTATAATCATTTTTAATTACAAACCATTATTAATGAAGTGATTGAATCAAATGCACATGTATTGCTCAAAATAAATTTATCCTGCTTATTTGTTGCTTATTCTGCAAAATGTAATACATGATATGGGATGTGACCCATTTTTTTATACATTTCCATTGCGCAGAATAAATACATTTATATAGAGGATATTGTAATAGTACAGATACTCCAAAACTTATAATCGACGCAACCGGTTCAATTGTAAAACCATTTCATAAATTTGGTATTGAAAAAACAAAATCAATTTATTTATACGAAGCACTTGTATATGACAAAGAGAAAAATCAAAACTTCACTGTCACAAATATGGTTAGCGAAAGACATACTAATATTGCTATTTCAAATTGGCTCTTACAGTAGATAAGTTCTGACATCAAAAAACCAAAGGAGAATGTTTGCGATAGTTCTTTGCCTATGCTTTCAGCTATGGTTTAAAGTTTTACCCAATATTCATCATTACAGGACTATGTAGGAGCTTGTTCTGATTTGCTTACAAAAAATATAACTTCTGATTCACACTGGGTGCCCCGATGCTTTATAAGAATCGATGTAGCTCATTTTATTAAGATATGTAGTAAGTGGAATCCTCTGAAGACAGTCCCGCGAAGGGTTAGAGAAATCAATCTTCAAACTATGTGTCTAATCATAAAGTGTCAATCATTGACAGAAGT